GAGAAGCTCCGTCCCGGTTCCTCCTCCATTTACAGACTTGGGAGGCGGTTATGGAGGCAGCTGGTTTGGAAAGACAATCCTGGGGAAGTGAGTCGGGGAAGTCACTGGAACGTGAGTTCTGGGAGGGCAGGTCGGGCTCTTACCTTCACTGCCACGATCCAGCAGCCAGAGAGGTGTCTGGCACTCAGTCAGCGTTTGAATGAAGGAATAAACTCCGATCGTTCATATCCAGATCTGGTGCTGTGTTGTGGCCACCATCAGAGTGTGAGACATACACACGTGTTCCAGCAAAGTGGGCAGAATTGTTGCTCATGCTGCCGCAGGCACCTCCGTGTGCAATTGGAAATGTGTAAAAAGGGAGAATGTCGCACATCCTCTTGAAAAAATAATCTCTTAGTAAAGACAGTAAAAGGCCTTGGGTGAACATGGGTATAGGTGCCCAGACATGTGGCCGATTGGGTGATGACATCCTGGAAGCAGAAGCTGCTCCTTTTCCCCCAAAGCAGGAATACCCCTTTCCCGGCCGTTGTCTACCCTTTCCCAGTCCATGAGAATGTCTCGGCCAGGGGTGTCTAACCTTCTGGCTTCTCTAGGCCGCAATGAGTAGAGAGGAATTGTCTTGGACTGCACATACGTCATATAGTATACTTAGTGTATATACATAATAAGACTTCTTTTATTTTTTTACGGTTTTATTATAAAGTTTGGAAAAATACAAAAGTAGTGAGAAATTTGACCTTGTTTTGGTAAAGCTAATCTATCGGTGTCTGGATCGATGGAAGTGACTGCATCTTTTAGTGAGTTCTCAAGGTGCGCGCCAGAAATGTTTGTTTGCGTTTTGCTCTTGGTGTGCTTCACAACCGAAAACAGCGGCTCGCAAATACATGCGTTGCCAAAAAGTGATGTCGTGAATAAAGCGTGCTTGTGAGCTTCAAAAATGGAACGACGCATGGGGTCATGGAAAAAATAGACACTAAAAAACACGTGATGATGGAGCCCGCGGGCCGCGGGTTGGACATGCCCGGTCTAGGCCTTGCCTTGGGATCCGGGGATTCGCCTTTCCCCGACCCTGGCCGGGGTGTTCAGACTCCCCCACAGAGCCGGGCACTGCGGTAGATCCTCAGCCTCTGCCGCCTCACACAGGCTGTACCTCACTCTTGCCAGAGTGCCTGTGAGGTTCTGTAAGATGCGTTGCCGTGCTCCCTCTCTTTACAGCACCCAAGATCTTAAAGACAGAACCTGCAGACGCCATGTCGATGAGAGTCCCTGTCCTTTCAGGCCATCCTACATGGGGTGTCCTCGGCCCAGCCTCCTGCTCTCCAACTCCCGAGTGGAGAGTACAGTTCTCCCAGTCAGCCAGAGATGGTGCCCCAGAGAATCACTTCCTTTTGCTGCTGGTGACCGAATGTCACTTGGAGTAGAGTTGATAAGGTCGCTTCCCATGTGCCTGTGCACACGTTCACCTCTCCTCCACTGGGGAAGGCACAGAGATGGTTTTTCCTTTCTCTGGGAATATTAGCTTCAACCAATGGTTGAGGCAGGCTAGAGGCTTCTGGAAGCCGGAGCCCTAAATTCTCACCTTCATTCCGTCACTGACTAGATTGTAATTGGGGGAAAGGTCACCTCTCCCTTTGGGGGCCAGTTTGCTCCTCTATAAAGAGGGGGTTGGTCTCATGGATGGCCAAATGTGGCAGGTGACCCCTCGCTTCCATGTTGGGCTCGGGAGTCCCTCATGTCCCCTCAAAAAACCCAGGCAGGGCGCAGTGGCTCACTCCTGTCATCCCAGCACTTGGGGAGGCTAAGGTGGGAGGGTTGCTTGAGCTCAGGAGTCTGAGACCGGCCTAAGCAACATAGTGAGACCTGATCTCTACAAAAAATTTTAAAAAATTAGCCGGGCGTGGTGGCACTTCCCTGTAATCTCAACTACTTGTGAGGCTGAGGCGGAAGGATCGCTGTGGTAAGCCATGATCATACGTCGCACTCCAGCCTGGGCGACAGAGTGAGACCCCAACTTAAAGAAGAAAGAGCTCAGATGCAGCACCCCAGCTCTTCTTGCTTTAGACACCCTCACCAACAAGAGCAAGAGGATCACGCCTCTGTGCCGTCCTTGTACCAGATGACCTGATGGGCCTCCCAGCTTTCACATTTCATAGTTCAGAGATTCAGGTCGGGGAGGGGACCCTAAGTCCTAGATGTACAGAGAGGTTCCGTGGAAAACCCCGATGAAGTTCTTTTTTAAAAGAGTGACTTGAAGCCGGGCTCGGTGGCTCAGCCTGTAATCCCGCTCTTTGGGAGGCTGAGGTGAGTGGATTGCCTGAGCCCGCGGGTTCGAGACCCGCCTGGGCAGCGAGACCTCATCTCTACAATAATTTTTAAAATGAGCCGGGCGTGGTAGCGCGAGCCTGTAATTCCGGCTACTCGGAAGGCTGAGGCGGAAGGATCGCCGGAGCCCAGCGGGTCGAGGCTGCGGTG